CTTGGTGAAACATCCCTCTGCGACGAGTTACGCCGCAATAGTGGTGTTGTGGTGGTTCTTGTGCAGGAAAAATCATGATTTTTTCGACAAGATCTTGTGAGTTTCCCTCAATACGTGGGTTTTCACGATGTCTTCCCCTTGATCACTCGTTTCGGCTTTGCGGTAAGTGGTCCTATGAGGCAGATGTTAATGGTAGTTTTGTCTCTATTGTAGATCTCTTAGGGGTAAGAGATCTGTAGACGAGATAAGTTTTCCAGGCCACGGTCTTTTTCCTCTTCCGCCGATCTTGTCTCTGTCGTTTGGTGTCTCCGCCTCTTCGTTACCGGTGATGTAGCTAGCTTAGTGTCTTCGTTTAGTTCCTTGACATTTATCTACTCTTTTCTTTTCTCAGTTTCTAGTGTTCTGGGATTTTAAGTTTTCTCTTATTTGATATGTTTCCTCAATCGATATGTGTGTATGTGCTTCATACGCTGTTCAGATCTTTCATTCACATCGAATAACGGCGACAATCTTTTGGGAAAGATCGAAGAAAAGTATTTGTTTTGGGTATTCGACATGTGTGTGTTTGGCTCTTGAGAATAGAATGATATTTGCTTATGTTTTTTGTGTCTCTTGAAATTAATGTCTCTTGTGGTACATGACTCCATTGTCAAACTTGTTTATGATCTCAATAGTGCAACCTTGGAAGCAGTTCTACGTGAGATGTCTATTTCTGATATTGTCCAAATGATTGAATATGGATGTTATGAAGTTTTATTTGTTGATTTCCATTCATTTTAGTTTGACTCTTATGTCATAGTTGCTTCTCGAAGTAGAAAACCATCAAGAGAACATTTGTGTCGTCTTCATTTTTTAACTTGAAAACTTCAACGCCAATGTTATTGTTTGTTCTGATTTTCTATAAATCTGCCATCCCTAAAAGTTTTTTTTTTGTTTTTATAAATTTATGCAGACAAAGAGTGGACACTCGTAGTTATTTTTAAAGACTCTGAGTATACAATCGATACAACGTTACTAATACAGAACATGTCTGTAAAATTTCAATCACATTTTATCTTTATTTATCTCTTATGTTTTATGCATAGATTGATTATTTGTATCTTCTTTAATTTTTAGTATGTCATATTCATATACGATTTGGCATTGAACATGCTTTGAAGTGTTATAAATGATACACATTGGGTTGCGTATGAGTCTCAAATGTTATTTGGATCGTGATACTGTGAATTTTTAACTTGGGCTACTCTCATTCTTACAGGTCAGTAGCCATGAAAATAAGTTATAGTATACTTTTTCAAGTCTCAGCCATAATGTTTTCAGGTTTCTGTGTCCAATATTGAAGGTTGATTTGCATTTTGATTTTTATTAATTCTTGTTCTGACATTTTACTTGGCTCGTTGGAATGTTGCGGAGGTAAAAGAGTTACTGCAGTTGCCACTCAAGTTATTTAGTATATCTCGATTTTTTTGGAATGAATAATTACTTCTCGATAGTTTCATCTTGTTTGAACAAACATTAGTCTTTCCGTGTGAATGTGAGACTTACATGTGTTACATCATTCTGCTTTATGTAGATTTATCTTCATGGATAAAGTATTTGTTGCAGAAAGTGAAACATTCTCAGGATTGCTTAGATGATAATTTTAAACCTTTAGATATCATGTTTGAGTATTTGTTCATTTGTAGTGATTTTAAACAAAGACAGAGAAAACAGGAAACATGGATATTGATCAAGGAATTTGTGGATTATATATTTGTTTACCTTGTGAATGATTTGTTTTTTATAATTGGACCGATGAGAAATATCGGTATTATTTTCATCTTTATAT